ACGCGAAAAATGTACTGGAAATGGCTGAAATTGAGTGACGCCTAAAAGTCCCCGTTTCTAGTCTTTTTACCCAGGCGTCAACCGTTGTGAAAGTGCGTAAGTTGTTCAGTGCATTAGCGAGGAGCATTATTCACATAGATAAGACGGAAGCGAATTAAAAAACAATAGCAGAAGCGAATTCCCTTTGCTATTGTTTCGATAAAGGCATGTTGCCGAAACACCAACCCATCTATATCTCCATTCCCTTGGTTTTTCTCCGAGGAAAAAGACTATTATTACTGTCTTATCGTTGTGAAAGTAAATGTTGACCACGGCCATGGCCAATTCAATCAATCAAATAGAAAGGATGCGTTTGAGTGCGTAAGTGCGTTTACATTCAAACGGCTGGAGACCAGAAGGTTTTACGCCGCTCTTCCCATTTGTGATATAAAGCCTGCTTTCTTCGCAGCCTTGGTGCGCGCCGTCTTGAAATGCCGTTTGGTTTGGGTGGCGATGGGCTTTTAACATTGACCGTGCCTTTCGATTGAGTGCATTCCTGGGAGAAGGCCCCACGTCAAGCCGTGCTTGTTTGGTAACCCCTGGCCCGATTGTAAAACTCCAGGGCAACGGCAGAACTTTGCGGCGAAAGTTTACCGCGCCACAATACCCGGCACGATCTACCCTGGCCTCTGGCGTCACCTGACCGTTGGCGCAGCCTCCGTCACCGGCCGCAGGCTATCCCCGTCGGAGACAAATAGCGAACGGCTACAGCGATTTAACCCACCCGGCCACAGGTCTCTGAATCGGAATGCAGGCGCTCTGACCAGCTGGGCTATCGGGACGGACTAAAGCACATTGGAGCACGAAACGATTTAAAGGGAAGCTGGTCGGCGTATCTTCCAACTGGCTGTACGCACAAAAGGGCACTAAGGAATAGAACCAGCACATTTTTCCAGTATATTCCAGAGTAAAAGAAATATAAGCGTGCTGTTGACCGGCTTTTGCGAGTAAACATGGTCGTGGGCTTTGAAAAAAAGAAAGTCAAGTTTCCTCAACATAGCCGGTGCTTTTATAGCATGACTTAGCCACTATTGAACGTAGGTTGCTTTCAAGAAGAAAATTCCCATCTCATCACCCCAAAATGTGTCGGAGTCTTTGCCACTATTTTTTGAGACGGCTTTTCTGGAGGCCTATTCGGCCAAGTCTCTACATATCCTGTTATACATATACATATATATGTTGTACATATACAGCTATCGACGTGTCTGAGAAGATCGTGCAAGCTCGGCTTTACTTTTAGACATCGGTACTTCGTGGCAGTATTCTCAAAAACTTTCCATAGGTTCTCGTTAGTACATGTCAGGCCGCGGCATTGCACACAAAACTGTTTGCGTTTCGAGCCTCCTTCAGTGAACGACGAACGGCACCTTTTTTTGTTGATCACAACCACTCAACGTCCTGAGATGCTAGCTTCCATGACTTACGCTCCATTCCAAGTTTTTCCCAAAATTCACCTTCACATCCACATGAAAAAAGACGTTCCTTTCCTCTGTAGCAATATATATATATATATATTATAGAGAGAGAGAGAGAGAGAAGAGAGAGAGAGAGAGAGAGATGAGAGAGAGAAGAGAGAGAGAGAGAGAGATAGAGAGAGAGAGAGAGAGAGGGAGAGAGAGAGAATGATAGAGAGAGAGAGAGGAGAGAGAGAGAGAGAGAGAGAGAGAGAGAGAGAGAGAGATAAGAGAGAGAGAAGAGATAGATATAGAGATGGGAGATGGAGAGAGAGAGAGAGATAGCGAGGAGAGAGAGAGAGGATAGAAGAGAGAGAGAGAAGAGATTGAGGGGAGAAAAGTAGAGATAGAGATTTAAGCTATTTGTATCCCTGTAATGTATATATATATATATATATATACATATGTGTGTGTGTGTGTAACAGCCGTATGTTGCATATATCATATAGATAATTCATATAGATTTATGATTTAGATCATATTTACCGTGTTGAAGTAAAAAATTCGCGTTATCTATCAGACCCACGTGAAATGGACCATTGGTGCCAAATTTATAGCCAAATTGCGACTTCAAGGCAAGAACTCTTTTAAACTCGAGCTTGGTAGATAGCTGATCGCTGTAAATGTTTGTTCTTATGTCCAATAGGTTAAAACCTCCACACGGCTTGCACAGTGTTGAAGCCAATAATTCGCGTTATCTATCAGATCAACGTAAAATGGACCATGCATGTCAAGTTTATCACAAAATTGTGACTTGAGAGCAATAACTCTTTTTAAGTCGAGTTTGGTAGATAATTGGTCGCTGTAAATGTTTGTGCTTCTTATGTCCGAATGGTTGAAAACCTCCACGCAACTTTAGGCTTCGAGGCCGCAGATTTTAAATTAGTTGGCAAAAACTTAAAAACTAGCTGAGTTATGAACCTTCAGGACCTTGCTATTTGACGTCATTCAAACTCCAGGCTATAATTCCTCAGCTGAGGCTCCGATCTCGTTAAAATGACGCTGCTAAATTCTGATCATAAGAAAACCTCATGCTGATACTTTTTGGTGAAGTCAAAGCTTAGGGGTGTTATCAGTATGGGGTAATAAGTCAAACAAGGATGCCATAAATGAATATGATGTTCTGTAAAAACATTCCTTACAACATTGTAAGTCCGGGTTTTGGAGGTGTTTTGAGTCTACATATCACCCTTGCTAGGCAAAAAAAAAAAATCGGTTATGACAGCTACGTGCCTGACAGATGCGAGTGTTAAACACACGCAGTTTATTTAAACTTGAGTTCCTCTCCACTCAGCTCCATGGTGATTTTTCAACGCAGCAAAATGCTTAATGAACATACAAAAGTCAGGCATGCAAGAAGTCACCGAAACAACACTGCCTTCATTCACCTCACAAAGGTCATTAATTGAAAGTTGAACAAAGACAAATTGTTGGGTAGCGCTTAAAAGGCGTTCACTGCCATACTTCACCGCATGTTCAGCGACTTGACACTTGACAGCATCATTGAAGGCGCATCATTATGCGCCAAATCGAGTAGTCGAAGTTCTCGTTTCTACAACTGCGCATCTGTGCTGCTGACGGGGAGATAAAGTACCTTGGCAAAGCACAGGCGTTTACATCATCTCACACCACAAATGGAAGAAC